CATTTCTTTCTCTTCCATGCTCTGCTGCACTCTCTCCCCCGCTCTCTCTCCTGCTTTCACACATTTCTTTCTCTCTTGCTTGGTCAGCATTCGCAAACATGATACCAATCGCGGTGCAGGTGAGCTTCCCTCTTTCCAATTTCCTTCCCTCAGTGACTTGGCCCTTCATCTCCCGATCTTCTTCCCTGGTTGAAGTAATAGTTCCTTATCTAGCCTTGCGCTTTCATTGGAATGCATCTCAAATAATTGTCTCGGAAATCAAACACTGCACTTGCATTCGACTTAATCCTTTCCCCTTATATTTCCTATACATACCACACATATCCTTGCTCTCTCAGTACTTTATTCCTCAGCTTCCTCCTTTTTTACGCAAGCGGAGCTGCACTGGCACTTCTTGTTTAGTTCTATTTAATAGTTATGTGACTGTGATGCTGTATTGGTCAACCCAATATATTTGATTGCTGTTGAACCCCCGGTTGGATATGTCTAGGGAATTATTTGACTGTAATGATGTATATATGGGTAAAAGTTCGTAAAACTGATGTCGTCATTGCTGTCGGAACTCTCTCGTGAAGCTGTCTTTGCGATTTTGCATGGGTTTGCAATCCCTTGGATGGGGGGCTCCGTGCTTCACAAGATTTAAAGAGCACTGTGTGTCTGTAGTGGTCGTTCGTCTTGCTCGTCTATGAAAAAAAATTGACGTGACCTGCTCGTGGTGTGACTTGATTGAGTCGGCGGTTCAATGTAAGGCGTGTCTGTGTGTGCCCTCGTTTTGTATATCCAAATGGAAGTCGTATCTCTCTGTCTTTGTTCTTCTTTTCTTTTTTTTTTTTCTCTCAAATTCTTTTTGCCTTTTACTACCTTCCTACCACTACTCCTAAGACTATATAGAGGGGACCCCTGCAAGCATAGGGCCTCACAAACGAGCTGGGGTGGGGGCAGGGGTGGGGGTCTGGCTATCGCAAAGACCGAGCGTTTTGCCAGTAGCTGTGCCTCCCTTTCTCATCGTCCTATCAGTGTCTTTTTTTTTTTCGTTTCTTGTATTTGTCTGTGTCTTTTGTTGACTTTGTGACAATGATCTATTGAAACTTGCAGGATGGAATTGGTCATCTTGCTGGTGGCACTTGCCAGATATGGAAATGCGAGGGCCTATATCCTCATGACGTTTTCGACTTGGTTTATGGCTTTCTCTTTCTTGTACGCTCCGTTCTTTTTCAATCCATCAGGCCTTGATTTGCTCAAGTAAGTCGATTCTGTATCTGCTGAGTACTTTCTCCTCTCCCTCCTAACCTGCTCCTTTCTCTGCGCCTGTCTTTTCTTTTTCTCTTTTTTTTTTTTTGCCACTTTCCCCTGCCCTATCCCCAGATTCTCCAGACACCGTGCAACAGCCCCCCGCCCCCAACCCCCGAGCCCCCTGAATCAGATTTCCCTTCTATTTTCTGAGTTTTTCTCTATTTGCATTGGACCCTGATCCTCCTCCTCATCCTCCTAAACCTGTGCCCTCTGGCTGAATGGTACGCATATGTAGCTGCTGATAAACTGATCACGAGTTCAAATCCTGGCACAATGGGATTGATCACAAGTCCACATCCTTACATAATTAGATCGATAGAGTAAGGTTAGGGACCATCCCCGTTTTACAATGTCATTGATTACACGCAACCTGTCAGAAATGACAGTTAATTCTCCCTTTTTTCATTTGCAGATCGCTTCCCATTTGTCTGTCGTAAATGTAAACGGTTCACGGAGTTTGGTCCTTGTGCCCCAGGGACATGTGTAATCCATCTCTCTCTCTCTCTCTCTCTCTCTCTCTCTCTCTCTCTCTCTCTCTCTCTCTCTCTCTTTTCATTTGCAAATCATACACAGACGAAGTACAAGGTGGGAGATGGAGGATGTGTTCCTTGCCTTTATTGGCGGGGATCCAGAGCCGGTGCTGTTACTTGAAAAAATCCGAGTGTTCAAAGCAGACCTGTGCTCCAAACATATTAGCATTGAATAATGCAATAGGACTCTGGTCCTGTTTGTCAGAGGGGGAATTTTTGGATTTATGCATGATGAACTTCTGCGAAAGCATGTGCCTGGCGTCTATTTCACGACTGGCCGGGCCCATTTTCCTTTCAGGCTTTCACTTAGGCCCCTTCTTTTCATGAAAATGCCTGGCGGCACTCGTGGGCCTTGGCCTCACAAATTCTTCTTTTGTTTTTTCGTTTTTTTTTTTTTCATTTTCATTGGAATGATGCACTTGAGGAGGTGATAAGAGCAGCCTTCTCAAGTGGACCTTCAGTGAAGGCTCCATCTTTTGGTGGGGAGCAGCACCTGCTGGAAACCAGGGCCAGCATCCCAAAATCGACATTAACATTCCAAGGTGTGTCATGATTGTCACGATCCTGCCCTCGTACTGCTGAGGGACCTGAGTTAGAATCGATTGCTGTTTTGTCCTATGCTGTTTCGATGTCTTCTACCCCTCCCCCTGCTACTGGAAACATCAGTGTCACGGTCCGTCTCTTGCCCGGGGGGCGATATATGCATGGGTACAGCCCCTGTGCTTACCCTGCCTCTACCTCCCCCCTGTAACCGTGGACAGCCTTTTGAAACCCTGTGCTTGCCTATGTGCTGTCCTACCTATGCCTTCCCTTCGTATTCTTCCCTTAACATCTAGCATAAGGCCCGCATCATGTCCTCACTTGTTTCTTCCTCCTCCTTTCCCTTCTGTGGACTCTCCCTGGCCCCAGCATCTGTCCACCTATCTGCCCTTTCGCTGCCAGTCCTTCTGACCATGTACTGAGCTTGTGGATTCCCTTCTTGTCTTCACTGGCCGTCTGTCCCCTGTCATCCTCATCTTCTGCACATTATCGCCCCCTATTTGGGCCCGTTGCTGGACCTGTCATCTCCTGTGTAACTGGAGTTGAGGGTCACTGGAAGCGCCGGCCGGCCGGTAAGTGGATGAGGGGGGGGG